AATAAAATGAAATATTAAAATCACGATGTATCTCGCTGCATTGCGCGAGTACGCTTCTAGTAATAAAAAATAAATTACATAAATTACATAAAAAATGAGAACTTTTAAATAGTTGATTTGATATTAACACTGATAACTTTTTTTCAAATTTATATTTTATTCAAAAATAAAATCATTATTGTTTTCTTAAAAACACATAAAATTGTATTATAGCATCGAAAGAGATAAAGAATAAAATAAAATATTAAAATCAAAATATATCTCGCTGCATTGCGCGAGTACCCTTCTAGTTATATTTTTAATATAATAGTATAATGATAAATAAATATATTATGTTATTATTATTATAATAATATTAAAAGTAAATTATGATTTTCGTCATTACTATGTCGTTAATAATTTTGATTTTCATTCTTATGGTTTAAAATTTCAATTTTCATTCTTATAGTTTGTAATTTATTACAATTTTGTCTTTAGATTGTTTTCTACTTTATAAAGTACAAGGGACTAAAACCATAAAGAATTGTAAGTCATAAGGACCAAAAACAACAATATATTTGGAATCACAAAGATAACAATGAGTTACAAACTATGGAGATGAAAATCACAATTTTGTAAACCAAAGGGACGGAAAACACAATTTTAACAAAAAACTAGGATGAAAAACGTAATTAACTCTAATATATATATATATATATATATATATATATATATATACTGTATTATAAAGCATTTGACAAAAACACTTAAAAACAATTTTTTAAGCATGAAGTATTGTTTATTGATGCATATTATTTAAAATTCAAAATTACAAGTAAATTGTGCGTAAGTACAACTTATTAAAGCTTCATGTTTAAATTCGTGTAACTAACTACAGATAAACATAATCAAATAGATGATAAATATCTCATTTTAAATATAAAAAAAATCTAAAATATAATTAGGATAATCATTAAGTTCTAACAAACTACTTAATTAGTATCTTTATAAAAATTATATTATTACTTCATTACTAAATCTAAATTAAATTATAATAAAAAAATTGAATTAAAGAAATTACACAAAAAACATCTACAAAGACGAAATAAAATGAAACACTAAAATCGAGATATATCTCGTTGCATTGAGCGAGTACCCTTCTGGTTATATTATAATTTTTTTTTAAAAACTTATAAAAACCATCTTTTGTGCGTAAAATACTGTTTATTGATGCATATTACTTAAAATTTAATATTACAAGTAGAATAATTATAGAATTTTAACAGAATACTTAATATTATTTTTATAAAAAATTATATTATTAAATCAAAACTAAAAACTTCATTATTAAATTTAAATTAAATTATAATAAAAATTTTGAATTAAAGAAATTACAGAAAGAAACGAAAATTTTTAAATAATTAATTTGATATTAATATCTATATATATTTTTTCAAAATTCTATAATATTTTCAAATTTATATTTTATTTAAAAATAAAAATTTATCGCTTTATCAAAGACATATAAAATCATATTATAACATAGATAGATACAAAATAAAACAAAATATTATAATTGAAATGTACCTCACTGAGTTACACAAGTAGTGTTATAGTATTAGAAATGTTCATAATGTACTAAGAGAGTTGAATTTTTTAATGTTTAATAGATTCATATCTTTTTAGGGGTTGTTTGTCAATTACTGAATAGTTTGATGCAAAATGATTAAATAATCAAAATGATTAAGAAACTATCATGATATAGTACAAAATGAAATATTATTGTTTGGCGATTGTTTACAATGAAATTAAAGCTCTTAATGGTTAAAAGAGACTCATGATACAAAATCATTCAGAGAGTTTTAAAATCATTAAGAGGTAGACTTTTTTTTGCCAAACAAGATTCATGATTGTCTTTTAATTAAACTATTAAAAGATAAATAAACAACCACTGATATTTTGATAAAGATATTGTGAAAGGACACAAACAGCAACTAAAATCTTGAGTTTCATATTCTCACGTTTCACATCGTAACAGAGAATATGAATTTAAATAAATAAATAAATACATCAAAAACTGATATATCTTTAATTTCATATGTAATTCTGGAAACACAAAAAAGGGAAGATACAGAAGAAGCTGTAACGGGAGGTTGCCGATTTAAGGTGACAGACGCCGGGCATTGGGTTATACTTCATCTTCACGCATGGACAACATATCTTCCTTTATCCTTCAATGCATATCTCATTCTCTCTCTTACTTTCTCTCACATCATTCATCATCATCATCAACATCAACATAATCATAATCATACCCTCCTTCCCTTCCAATTCTTCAACATTTTCTAAACGCTCCCCTTTTCTCATATCGTATTTATTGATCAAACAGTTTCTCTCTCTCTACAACCTTGTTGTTTGGTTGGATTTTTGATGTAATGGAGCCTCAGAGGAACACCCGGATGGTACAAAACCCAACGCATCATTACGTAACCGGAACCGAAGCTGCTTTTCAGTCATCGCCGCCGTGGGTGATGACGGATGACGGTGTTTTGGCGGGTTATGATCGGGATCAGATGGCTTCCAATCTCCCTCATCCCTCAATCGATGTTGATGAAACTATGTCCAATGTGTTTTCTTCTCTCAATATCTCGCCCATCAACCGCCTCCGTTGCCGGAGACACCTCCCGGAGACTCTTGACGGTGGTGGGACTTCGATCGGCATCGGCGAGGCTTCCGTCGTTCGCCCCTTTCGTAACAACGCTGGTGGTGATATTGGTAACAGTCACCGAAGGATTTACTCCAGTGTGGGCCATGTTATGGTGGACCCTCTTCAGGAGGTTCCTTCTTCTGGGTTTGACCAACCGTTTGACTTTGACCAATCGTCTGACTTGCTCCCGAAGGAACAGTTGTACTCTACACCACAGCTCAGTCCCCATCTCTTCTGTTCATCAAACCCATCTTCTGCAATTCTTGATGACTCTTTCCCCCCCAATTCCGCAAACAACTCCAATTTTGCGAGATCACGAGCTCATCAGCTTTTGAGCCTTTTGCCATTGAAAGAATTGAGGGGAAAGATCCATTCTATTGCTAAGGATCAAAATGGGTGTAGATTATTACAGGCTAAATTTGAAAACCCAACAAAGGAAGAGATTGAAATGGTTCTGTATGAGGTGTTGGACTCCATTAAAGATTTGATGAAGGATCAGTTTGGGAACTATTTGATTCAGAAGCTCATTGTTGTATGCAATAATGATGATCAGAAATTAAGGATCCTTGTTTCCCTGTCTGAACTCCCAGTTGAAATGATTCTTGTTTGTATGAACCCACATGGGTATGTTCAATTTATTCGCATTTTTTGTGTAATTATTATGTTTAGGATCATATGAAGATGCTGTTTTTGGTGATTTGTAGGACTAGAGCTGTGCAGAAGTTGTTGGAGAACCTAACTGACCCATACCAGAGGGCGTTAGCAATGGCGGTTCTAGGCCCGGGTGCGGCTAGATTGGCCAACGATCCGAACGGTCATCATGTTATTCAGTATTGCTTGATTCATTTCCCTTGTGATGTGAATGAGGTATTGTATTCAATCATGATTCTGTAAAAGCAAGTTATTTTTGTTTATAATCGTTAATCAACCGATGTTGCGTTCAAGCTAGTTAATAATGATAACGTAAGTTCTGAAAACGGAAAGGCCTAAACACCCATTTAGTGACTCTTTACTATACCAGTAGGTGTTTATTGGGTTATTTTACCTTATTGAATGGACATGACAAGGATTGAAAATCTTACCCTACAAGAGCGATAACAATGACTGAGAGTTTTACCTGGTCAATAAGAGTGACGGCCCTTGCCTGATAAATGTTTATCAAATAAAAATGTTCATAATGCCGTTTTAATAGAATAAATTATTACCTGGTAAGTTAAGTGAAAAGATATATAAATGTTTGATATACAAGCTTAAATAAAAAAGTGAAATGTTAGAAGAGAAAAGTGAGAAAAAAACAATAGATATTCTTTCTGTTCGTGTGAAATGTTAGAAGAGAAATGAATGTTTTATATTAGAGTATTAATTGAAATAAAAAATATTATTTTATCATTAAACGAATCTTTATTTTGATTAATTTATGAATATATCATAAATAATGTCAATATAAATATTTATATTATAATGAAAAACACAAAATAACATTATGAAGTCCAAAAAGTAATAATATAAATATCTTGATTTATAGATTTTTGGAATTTGTATTAAAATATTAATTTAATTTATTATATTTTGATGTAACAATGTTTTCTTTATAAAATGTTGAGTAAACAACAATTTTGGTCCCTTTGGTTTATACAAATATTTGAAAGTGGTCCTAAAACTTCAATAACTACAATTATTATTCCTATTGTTTACATTTTGCCTTGAAAATGGTCTCTGTTTACTAACTATGTTGGATTAATGCGTTAAGTAAGAGACATTTTGGTCGTTATATCCTTTTTGTCCTTTTCTTTCTTATTTTTACTCGAATAAAAAATTAAGGGCCAAAAGTGTAATTTTTTATATATTTTTGTTATATACAATTATACACAATCTATATGTAAACAAAACACATAGATAAAACGTTTATATATATAATCATACACACTTATATATATATATATACACACACATATAATCACACACCACCACCACCCTCACACAGACACACATACAGAACACTGGAAAAAAAAAACTATCCTTGATCTGTTCCATCTTTTAACACGGACGACCTAACTACATGAATCAAACGGGGTGAGGGAGTATGGAGGGAGGCTGGGACAGTGGCTGACCGGATTTGCAGTTGGATGCTAGAGGTTGGCCGAAAAAACAAAACTAAGGAGGTGAAGTGGCTATGGTGGTGACGTGCTCGCCGGGAAAAGAAAGTGGAAGGGGAAGGGGACAGGGAAGGCCGGGGTGGTCACCAAGAGTCAAAATGGGTGGGAGAGATCATCTTTATCCAGACCCGTTCCTGATATTTTATAGGTCCTGGGCGAATGTAAAAACATGGCCCACTGCATGAAACAAGGCTTTTAGCAACGACTTTTGTCGTCGCTAAAAATCCATTTATCATCAGAAAGAGTATATAACAACATGTCGCCATTATAACTTGTGGCAAAAATATGTCATCGTTAAAAGGCGCAAAAATGTTTTTCATTAGTATAATTTTCTTTTTGATTAACCTGAATATTCAACCCGTTATGCGACCCGACTAATCCCAGGGCGACTACTTGCTTTGCAGTTAGCCTGAAATCACCACATTTGAACCTTTGTCGCCATAAGGGGATTTTTATTCCTTCTTAGATTTGAACCTAAGATTTCTAAGTACTTTTTGACTTTTTGAGTACAAAAAATGTTAATAATTTACTGAGGAAATAAATCTTATTTATCTTTATAATAGATATATAAGAGAGTACTTAAATTTATGTATTTCTTGTTAGGTAATTTGAAACCAAGAGTATAGAAACTATGGTTGATAATTTTTTTATAAAAAGTAAGAATTTTTTTAGTTCATAACAAGAAATATGTGTTATTTTGATAGAAAAAGAGAATTCATGTGAATGAAGTAATCGTGAGAGTCAATGAGAGATCAATAATAAAGAAGATTATCAAGTTTTTCTAGACAAGTAGACAAATGAAAATCAATAAGAATATAAAAGAAAAGATGATCCATTGAGATCCAATAAGAATAAATAATTACTTAAACATATAATATGCAAGTTCAACAAATGATTGTTTGAACACTTAAATAAAATCTTGTTGTGTGGTGGAATCCCAATGAAAGATACATAAGTCAAACAATTGATGAAAATATTTAAATTCTATTTTTTTTTTGCTCAACTAAAATAAGATGTTAAGATTAAAAGTTTATGGAACATGACATATATAAGAGACATTACTAAATACATCTAGTAGTAACAATTTATTGATTAAACACAAAATCATGAAACACGTCATAAATTATAAGAACAATAGATTGATTGTCAAATAATAGTAAAATATTTTATGTAGAAGCAAAAATAGATAACAACAGTCAACAAAAACAATTAGATCAACATAACCAAATAGCAATAGTCAATAGAAGCAGAAATTGATAAAAATATCCAACAAAAATATATAGTAATAGCAAGCACATGATCTTAACGTTGAATTGTTGAAGCATGAAAACGGTCAAACATTTAGAGATAGAAATAGCCAATATCATTGGACCTTGTTGGAGATAAAAAGAATTAGAGAGACAATAAACAAAATTATAGAAAACTTGCTTCAACTTGTAGAAAACTCAAGTTTGGAATACACTCATCTTTCATTTTGCCTTTGGCAGCCGATTTTGAATGAAATTGCAGACAAATGCTTCCAAGTTGCAACAGATAGAAGTGGTTGTTGTGTGCTACAGGCATGTGTGGAGAACTCTCGTGGAGAGTTGAGAACTCGACTGATTTCTCAGATTTTGGTCGATGCGATACATCTAGCCAAAGATCCTTACGGGTTTGTGTCTCTACATCCTTTATCAACTTCTCGTTTCTTGGTTCAGCTCAAGACTAACGCGCGCCATTATTTGTTATATAACCTTTAGAAACTATGTGTTGCAACACGTGGTGGGGTTAAACGTACCTGAATTCACTGCGCAACTTGTGAGGGAGCTTCGAGGGAATTTTGCATCTCTGTCGTGCAACAAGTATGGTAGTAATGTGGTCGAGAAGTGCTTGAACGAATCACGAGAAGAGATCTCGAGTCTAATTGTTATGGAGTTGATCACAAGCCCAAACCCATCGTTGCTTCTAACAGATCCTTATGCTAACTTCGTTATCCAGTGTGCATTGACGGTCTCTACGGTTTGTTGTTTCTATAATTCTGAATCTTAGTCTTTTTCCTATATTTCACCAGGAGGTTGGGTCTGGGAAGGTAAGATGTATACAGACTTGATCCTACTATCCCAAAGAGTAGAGCGGTTGTTTCCATGAAAACACCTGGTTTGTGAAAAGTGTGACAAAGAGAGAAAGTCAGATAAGATAAAGTTTCAAAAGCCGGTTAAGAGTAAGCAATAACATTCAAAAAGAAGCAGGTAAAAGAAAAACATAACCAAAGTAAAAGAAACTACACACCAAGTCTAACTTTTTTGAGCAAGTTTTATCCTTTGTTTCACACACTTCACAGGGTCTTTACGAAAACAGCTGCTCTGATCTATAGTACAGGTATCTGGTCTATATACATCCGTCACCTCTAAGTGGGATATACTGGGCTTGTTTAGTTTGGTATTATTTATAATTTGTTGAAGGAGTTGTTGTGACTGTGTATTGATTATGGTGGGACACAGGGGTTCGTATACGAATGTCTACGAGAGGTCATATCGGACAACATCGGGTCCATGCGAAGCAATCTTTATGGTAAGAAGATATTGGCATGGTTCGAAAAGCGGAGGATCCTTGGCATCTAGAGAAGTTGTGAATACCTCAGGTTAAAAATGTATTTATCAATGTGTCGTATATACATATATACACATACATATATACATACATATACATATACATATACCTATGCATATATATATATATATATATATATATATGTGTGTTGTGCTTGTAGTGAGTCTATTGTCACTTTTCTGTGCTAAGTTTACTCTTAAAGACAAAGGGATATTATTTACAGATGTATACACCTCTCTTCAGTTCAATCTTGAAGGTAAAGTTATAGTGCTGTTGTTACTCTTTACTAATGGGATTGTTCCCATTGATGTCCGAGGGGCCGTTTATCAAACGTTTATTTGCAAGAGTCATCATTCTCGTTTACCTTATCGTGTAACATTCTCGATCATCAAAAAATGGATTGTTGGTAAGCGTTTTAAACCCGGTAAACGCTTACAGGATAAGAGTCTTTTCCCATAAGATTCTCGAACCTTTCCATACCCCAATCGTTAAAATAAATAATATCAATAAACATTTACCTGGTAAGTATTACTCACAATAAACCTAGCTCACTTTTGGATCAGTTCCATTCTTTATAAGGATTTTTTTTTTTGTAAGGGTGTCCGGGCCAAAGCCCGACTAATCCCCGGCAAATTTGGAGGCTAAACATGGCCCCACTTAAATGTCGCCAACACTCCCCTCCCAGGGTTCGAACTCGGGTTCATGACTATGCCATGCCCAAGCCTTTACCACTAGGCTGGAAGGTCTTTGACTTTTTATAAGGATATTTATTGGGTAATAATATACATGTTTGTTTTTGTGCAAACGTTCAATTGTCTTATGGTTTTCAAAGGATCTTCGCTTCATTTGACTCTTAGGGGCTGTTCGGTAACAGCTTAATGAGTTGTATAGTAGATATGGTTGATTCGTACAACCATACCTATGTGCTCGGTAGGAGCTTACTCGCTCAGTTAAGAGCTGAATCAGTCAGTTGAAAAAGTAATATACTATTTACTCAGCCAATTAATTACATTTATTTTTTCCATCTACCCTCTCCCTAATTTACCATGGATTGCTTCTCCTCCAGCGGACTACCTACCCTACGGCTTCTCCTCCATCGTTCTCCAGATCTAAGGTATGTCGTTCTTCATCGATTTCCAGCTCTATCTTCTTCGATATGTTACATATCGTCATCAATTTCGCTCCATTACATATCTTCATCGATTTTCTGCTTCTCTGGATATGTTATAAACGATTTGTACAGAACTAGATCTTGGTTTTCAAAATGATATCTATTCATACATGACCAGATTTTGTTATAAATGATTTGTGCTTTACTTATGAAGAGCGACAAAATTATTTTGGTATCTGGATTCTCAGGAACACCAATTAAGTATGAACAATAAGGTATCTGCAATAATAAAGACTGGTGGTAAAATAGTCATTTATGATATTCAGACTGTTTATTCAGCACAACAACCGAACAACAACTTATCTGTTAATATACAGACAACTATATTCATACAGGTCTTAACAGAAAACAAACCGAACAGCCCCTAAGCATTGCGTTGAAGGTTTAGCTCTTATTTATTTGTTATTATTTTAACTTGGGTGTCCGAGCCAGCTTAGATGTAACTCGACTAAACCTAAGGGTCTTGAAAAACAGCCTGGAAAATCCCCAGTGGTCTTACAATTATTAAATCAATGATCTGTAAGGAGGATCCTTAAAGATCTAAACCTTATTTTCAGTTGAGGTTTAACTTTTTTATTTGTTTCATTCGTTTCTCTTTTATTTCTCTTATTTATGCACATATAAAAAAGTTTCACATTGTAAACTGAATATATATGAAATAAACATATTGTGAAACGAATATATGTTAATCAATATATTAAATAATATATTTAGATGGAAAAAATCATGTGAACAAAACCTTAAAGTAGAAGTTCTCGTGGATCTCACAATTTTGAGTTCTCAAATGATTAAACCCCTAAATATATAATGTATGTACCTTTTTTAAAGTAAAACTATGTTAAATCATGTGTTGAAAATACAAAAAAAATATACACTCTCAGTCTCAAAATAAATATCCACAGTCAAAAAGACATCAATTTAGGAAATGTATAATTATTCCACTTTCTAACTAACTTAATGATAATTTTATTCTTAATACTAGAGATAGAAACCTTTGCTACCTAATAATTAAGAATAAAATAAAAAATGGAAATTCTAAAAATACTCAATGAATTTTAGTCTTTGGAATGATTAAGAAATTGGATAGTTTTTTCCGAACAAATAAGTCTTTGGACATTCAAAAACCTGTTAAATAACTTATTGGACTTTCTAAAACTGTTAAATACATTCTTATAACCTACAAAACTGGTTAATGTGGTAAAATAATATAAAAAGTCCGAAAAAAGGCCAATAGACTTTCATATCTTGAATGATTAAGTCCCTAAACATTTTTAGAACTAAAAAAGTACTTACATCTATAAAATGTAACAAATATACCAAAAAAGTACTTATATTTAAAAAGATTATTGATAGAATTTATTTTAATTAAAAATAAAAAATATTTTGTCAGTAATTTTTCAAGTTTAAAATAAAA